CTCCCTTCCCCAGGCCCTTGCCTCCCTTGCCGCGGCCAGACATGATCGGAGATTGGTGGTAGTGGTGGTGGTCAACGAAACTTCGAGAGGTCTTCGAGACGGGAGCTACTCTTGAAGGGGAATCGAGAACGGGTGGAGCAGAGAAGGGAAAGGAAAGGCGAGAATGGAGGACAATGACGGCGGGATGGAGAGAGAGAAACTCACTTGCACAGCAACAAAGCGAGCCAGTGGCGAGCACTGCTGCTGCTGCTGCTGTTGTCGTGCAGGAGCAGCAGGAGCTACAGCAGCGCCTCCCTCCCTCCTCGTGGAGTCAAGGCAAAGCAGGAGGAAGGGAAGGGAAGAACAGTGGCGACACCTAAAGCGATGGAAGCGATGACAGTGATTCTGGGGGTGATCCAGTGCCAAAGACACCCACCCTGATACCACCAGTTCAAGATGGAGGACACACTTTACAGTTCCTTTCTCTCTCCCTGACTTCTAGAAAGTTCTCCTCGAATCAGCCTCAGCAAACTCAGCAGCCAAACTGATGGATAACCTGGTGATTCTCTGCTGAACACTACCACCGTTTTAGCGATAACAAAGCTAGCCAAACCATTGAAAGGCTTCAAGCATCCAGTGCTTGCTTGTTTCCGAAACAGCAGCTTCCCTGCTTTGAAATCACCTCCATTATCTCCACCGTTTGACAGTTCCGTTTTGTTTGCAGCAAAACTGCAAAACTGGAAATCTGAAAAGAGAACAAGAGAAAGAGGAGGGAAAGCACTGGTCAATGTAGCGGTAACGCCACGTCGCAGCTGCCGTTGCCTCTTCTCCAGCCGCTGCCACAGCAGCCAGCACAGCACAACACAACAACAGTAGCCCCGTTCGCCAGCAACAGAAGCAGCGACAGAAGTGGCAGCAACTGCGCACTCTCCCCACAAAGGCAGCCAGTCGTTTGCGCCGTTCTCGCAAGCGAGACGCGATCGAGACTCGAAGTGATCGCTCTTTCCACCGCGCCTGGGCGCACACAAATGGACATAGCGCAGGAGCCAGGGGACCTAGCTTCAGGCGGGAGACACCACCGGAAAGGCCCGTTNGCTCGAAGTGATCGCTCTTTCCACTGCGCCTGGGCGCACACAAATGGACATAGCGGAGGAGCCAGGGGACCTAGGGGTAGGCGGGAGACACCACCGGAAAGCCCCGTTCGAGCTGAACACTCGGGCGCAGGTCCGACGGAAATCGGTTCAGAGGTTGGAGAGCGGCGGTGGTCAGAGCACCAGCAACCCATTACGTCTATCTGAGTCCCTAGGTTGGTCGGCGTTCGGCGGTGGTGGGCGCCAGCCCCTGGGCCTAGAGCTGCGATTCAAACACCGCCGTGAAGCTGGGAAACAGGCCTTTCCAGCGGTACCCGGCTCGACCGGATCGGCCCAGAAACGACCAGGCGCCAGCGCCCGACAGCGCTGCTCGGCGACCTGAAGACGGCCGCGCAAAGCACCTCCTCCACTTCGACGGGCGATCTCCGGTCCAAATAGAGCAAAAAGACCCATTCCTTCACCCTCCTCCGCTGGGGCACTTCTCCCCGAACAGGGCGCCACTGTCCGGGGGCGGCCCGGGCCCGGGCGCAGGCGGCGGGCGGCGGATTTGGGGCGCGCTCGGGGCACAAATGCGGACGGCTGCGTCGCGCCGCCGAGTCGCGCGGTGCAGCAGTCAGCAGCGCACTGGACGGCATAGTCGATCGTGCATTCGCGCGCAGACTATATGTGCCTGGCACGAGCGACGGCCGTCTCCAACGCCAACTCCAGTTCGCTCTCAACGCTCTCACAGCTCTCACAGCTCGCTCGCTAACTCTCGCAACCAACTCGCGCGCTCCACTCGTCCTCGCCTACTCACCACTCCTCTCTCTCTTTGTTCTCGACTATTTCCACACCCACCACAACAACCCAACAACAACAATGGCCACCCTCCCAACTGCTGCTGCTGCTGCTGCTGCCTCTCCGGCGAAGCCCGCCAAGGCGAAGAAGGACAGCTCGAAGCCGAAGGCGGTGCCCACCCACCCGCCAGTGGCGGCCATGGTCAAGTCGGCCATCGGCTCGCTGAAGGAGCGCAACGGCAGCTCCTTGCAGGCGATCAAGAAGTACATCGCCGCCAACTACAAGGTGGACATTGAGCGCGTCTCGCCCTTCATCCGCAAGCACCTCAAGGTGGCTGTCACCAAGGGCCTGCTGGTGCAGTCGAAGGGCAAGGGCGCCAGCGGCAGCTTCAAGCTCAAGTCCAAGGAGGCTAAGAGCGGAGGCGCCGCCGGTGCTTCGGGCAAGCCCAAGGTGGCCAAGGCCAAGAAGGCGGAGCACAAGAACCGGGCTACGAAGAAGCCAAAGACCGCCAAGCCAAAGAGTGCCAGCCCAGCCAAGCCGAAGGCAGCCAAGCCTGCCGCCGCCGCCGCCGCCGCCGCCGCCGGAGGAGCCGCCGCTGACTCAGCCAAGCCAGCGAAGGCAGAGCATAAGAACCGGGCGACGAAGAAGCCCGTGAAGAAGGC